CTCTGGCTTTGCCCAGGAGCTCATGACCAAAGTGGGACATGAAACTAAATAGCCCAGGGGCCATCTCACTTCCTGGCTATAAACAATCCTTCTCATGAACAATTCAGCCTTGTATACTAGCCCTTGGTTCTGTTTTAGCATCTCCATTTCTGAAAGCTTAATTTGGTTTGGAAAAATGATAACTATTCTAAGTGGATATTTTCATTGTCTGTTCTTTAATTAAACTTAAAACAGAACATTCGTCTTAAAACAAGTTTCAGTAAACATATAGAAATTTGGACGAAAGCATGTCTCTATGAAAAGTAAGCAGTTTTTTTTTTTCTGAATAACAAATTATGATGCCAAAAACTAACAAAACTCTTATGCTGAAGAAGGAATGGAAAAATAAAGCCAAGATTAATGTTTCCCACACAAGTTTTAAATTTGGTCAAAAAGTTCTTGTTTGTCCCAAAACATTTTGATGAAATTTTTCAACTAGGCTTTTCAGTCTTACCCTGAGCTGCTGCAGGATTTACTTTTCTGCTCTTTAGTCTTTAGATTTGCTTTCTCAAGAAGATGCATGATGCTGTGCTCTGATTTGTCTGTAGTCTTGGCGACAGGAGATAAATTGAGGCAGAGCTTGCAACATGGACACCTTCTTCAAGACAAAAGCATACGCTATCTTGTGTTAGCCTTCTGGACAAAGATGCAAATGCTACGGCAATGATACTGAACTCTGGGTGTGATTCATTCCTGTTATCCACAAAAGAGTCATTAGAGCTGACTGAAAAACTTTCAGTTGAACAGCCTTGCAACAGGAAATGCTGTCTCACAGGAATGCAAACTGTAACCTGGAGAAAATCATTAATATGGTAAAATGGGAGGACTGACATAGTTACTTAATCGACTTTAGAATTATCATTTCAGTTAGTGTTAGACAATTGTGTTAAGACTTGTACATTGCATTTAAATGATGGTGGTCCAAGGGAGGGCTAAGGAAGGCTCTGTTGTACTTCTTGACCAGATACAGATCCCCAGATTTGGGGTAAGGGATGAATGCCTGCTCAGGTCAGACCTCAGTACAGAAAATGTCTTTCTCTGTAGCATAAAAGAGGTCCCTTTCCTAGGACCACCTAAGAATTTCACCTAGCAAATACCACCCTCACCTCACTGCAGACCCCTAGACTACAGCTCATGCTTGAGATATTCCCTGCTCCATGGCACGTGAAAGTGGAGCTTTTGGTTTCCTACCACAGATTTGAAGTTCATGACGGCGCTGGCTTGTGATCTATGAAAGTTCTGTGTGCCCTTTTGGACAAGTGTTTGGACAGGGGCAACTGTCTGGGGCTGTGTTCCAGTGTTCAACTTTTGTCAAAATATTAATTTCTGTAGTAAAAAAATACTAATTTCTATGTCACATTCTGTTTCTGGAGGATCTTTGATTCGAGGGCTGAGGCCCTAACAGTTTTACTAACTTCCTTTTCTCATGCCTTCATAAGAGAAAAAGTGCTTTCTCTTTGCAGTTTGAATTCAGAGAACTTTCTTTTAGACTATTTGGAAAAACAACAAGCTTTGTTGCCCATGAATTGAAATCAGAATTTTCTTTCTCCTTGGTATAATTGGTCCATGGTTCTTCTTCCATATTTGAAGTGTTTTTCTCTAATAGTTTGATTTTAAAATCTATAGGTAACACATTAGATCCTGCCCACCACTGTTGAAACAAGATATCTTTTAGGGAGATAATTCTCAAAGCTAGTTTTTTAACTTTCTTGTTTCATAATAAGTTTAATATTTTTTGGCCTCTCATACGGATTCAGAACAAAAACATATCTCGAAAAATAAAGTTTCCAACTAAATTAAACCACTGCTTTTCAACCGCCTTAAGGTTTCCATGATGATTAAAAAAAAGCAATTGGCAAACCAAGGAGAAAGAAAGGCCTGAACATGTGCAATACAGAGAGTGCAGGCTTAATTCCTGTGTTATGACGTATGGTCTGACTTGCTCTCCATGTTTCCTGCACCTCATAGTTTTGTAGGTAGCTCTGACTGCTCAGACCTAATGCAGGACCCCAAGCAGGGTTACCACATATCTCAAATTTCTAGGCAAATCCTTTTCCTCAGGAATGAGACTTTGCCCATATCGTCTGGGTTTCCTGTACATCCTGCCGCGGTAGGTCTGAGTGGGCTGTGGGGTCTTCAGGACAGGGCTGTGCTTGCACAGGTCAGAGGCACAGTGCACAATGCTTGCCCTATAAGGTTCGGGCAGCTCCATGGCAAGCCCAGCCCCAGGAAATGTAGCTTTGATCCTCATTTTTAAGTGGGGTGCCTGCAAGCCACAGCTAGTTAGTAGCCATTTGGTGGATCTTCATGAAAGGAGAATGGGACTTAGCCCAGATGCTTTGTTTAAAGAGCTGGCAGCCCTGACAGCAATAGATGGGCTATGGAGAGCGGACCATCCTTGGTGGTGCCTTAGCAGGTCAAATATCCTCTGTGAGCACAGGTAGGAGCCTTGCATTGAGACCTTCTTATGCTAATAACTATTTACAGACTACCCCAATCTCCCTGGTTATCAATCCATGCTGCCTTGGCACCAAAACTCCTTTTACGCAACACTGTGGGCACAGAAATAAACGCTAGATCAGTCTCTCACTTATCCTCACCTTGTTTCTTTCCCACTCAGACGCCTGGATGCAAACCTTATCTCTGAGGTGCCTGAGAAGAGCTTTGAGGGGCTGCTTTCCTTACGTCACCTGTGGCTGGACGATAATGCTCTGACGGAGATCCCTGTCCAAGCTCTGAACCACCTGCCAGCGCTGCAGGCCATGACCCTGGCTCTCAATCAGATCTGGCACATTCCCGATTACGCCTTCCAGAACCTCAGTAGCCTCGTGGTGCTGTAAGCCTTCTCCACTTGTTATTCTGTCACAGTCACAGCATCTTCCAGCTGGGACAATGTGTTGACCATGCCTGAGCAAGTGGTGTCTTCCTCTCATGGGGAAACCAGACATCACAGGGAAAGCCCTGCTACTTGCTCATGAGAAATAGCTTTTTGCTCCAGAGGTGGCAGCCAGAGGTTTTATTCAAGAGACTCAAAGAATCCCCATCATTTGATATGAAATGCTAAAATTTTCTTTCAACTTTTTTCATGGTTTCCCCATTTTTCACTGAATAGTTAAAAAGCTCCCCAACATTTTTCAAAAAATGCTTTGCATAAGAAAGATAAGTATCTGAAAACAAAATGCATATTTTTTCCTGCAAAATTCAAGTAACAAAAAGTTTATCATTTCTATTTCCTCTCTGCTCCCCATGTTAAAACTGCCTGAATTTCTGTCTACATGGAAAAAAAATTGCAACAATTTTCATTCAGGTCAAAAAGCAATATATTTTTCTTGGAAAACATGCCAAGGAGACTTTTTGACCAACTTTGATTTTAAACAAAAGGTCTCATCTCAACACCTTGTCCTCACCTGCATATGCTTACATGCATGACTGTATTATGTATACTGATCAACTACAGATTCTTTGCGATGATCAGAAACCCTTTGGTGCATGTTATTGTCCTGTGTGCATTATAAACACTTTACTGATAGCATTCAGAGCAATGTGGAGAATGCTGCTGCTCTCAGAGGTCACCTGGGCCAAATGGGATACATTTACATTTTTCGCCACGGGGTGAGTCCTTTCCATTAACAGAGGCTTACATTTTATCTATCTTTTAAATGGAAGTTTACATATGCAGATCATCTAGTCACTTTTTTTTTGTGTTGATCAGTAACTTCAGGTGTGATTGCCAGTAACTCCAGAAATTCTATATCTACACAAAATGCTACCTTTTATTTTGGTAATATGTCTGTTGCTACGAGGCAATTAAGCAACACTGGTATGTGGGGCCTAGTGAAAGTCTTGCAGTTATTTCACTTCCAAAATTTAAAGTGTTTACTGAATCCATCTAGCATAGAAAGTGCCTGGACAAAGCACTGTCCAGATTTTTATTAAGCATCAACTTCAGTTGTTTAGATAATCATAAAGGCTTATTTAGAAGAAATGCTAAGAGCAACTTGAGGAATGTCAAATAAGTAGTTTTCACCCACAATAGCGCCCATTCTACCAAGGCATCCCACGACCATCGTAATGCAACCACTTCATTCAGCTTTAATAGCTAGCACAGAGGGTGAGCTGACATTTGGGTTATTATTTCAGTCTCAAAAGTATGCTGCTTTCATTCTGGCTTATCCCATACTTTAGGTGAGAAGCAACTTCTTAATTAATCAGGCAAGCTTAAGAAATAAAAGTCATTGGCCATTAGGTCACAAGGGAGAGAAAAATGTCCTACCACAGACAACTGGAAAGGAACACGTGTGATCCTGCCAGGCACTGTGGGACATGATGGTACATTTTTGTGGGATCACAAGTGTTTGGCAGAACAAGCTCCATAAATCTCTCCCATGCTTCCATGCATACCCCTATCAGCACGTAACCAGTGGAAAGTCACCCGGTGTTCCTCCTGTACCCCTACCAGAGATATTTCCTTGCTTCAGACTCACCCGCCAAGCAGAGAAGCACACACTCTGAAAAGGCAGCCAAGTTAGGCAGTACAGTTTGCAAGGAGACTTTCCCTGCTGGGATACAAATGATACATATGTGCATTTTTATGCAAGTGTCTGAATTTACACATAGATGGAAAAGAAGAGCTAGCAGCTACCATAAACTTCAGGAAACTTCTGGCCTGGGAGGTATTAAAATGAGCACCTGGGGGAGGAGAGTTAAGAGTAAATGTGGAGGAGCATAGAGGAATCTTATTTATAGTATGATTCATGAGCACGGACATGGCTGACCATGGCTGAGGGCACGACCTTCCCAGGTGCAGAGATGTGCTATTCCTCCTCCGCACACCTTGGGCCTTTTGGAGAGATATGGCTGATCTCGCAGCAATGATGGATAGAATCAACACCAGAATATACAAGCCTCAATATGGAACAAGTTAAGAGGTTCAGTCGCTGCTAATAAATTACACCTCCATTGAGGAATTCCCTGATCTTATTCCCATATATTGCTGTTGTAGGTTTCTAACTAGAGCTGCAGGGTGTTCAGTAAGCAGAGCCTCATATAAATCAGTCATCATGAAATCCACGAGTCTGATCTACTCAGGACAGAATGTGTCTTAGCATCTGCAAGTAGAGCTGGTCCTAAACAGCTAATAATTTATATGATGCAAAGATTTTTTTTACAAAAGCATCTTCTTTCTTGGGCATTCTTCTTTCTTTTTCATTTAGAAGATGAGTATCTGAAATCCCCATGCTGCTGTGCTGACAGGCTAATGAAGTGCATGAAACAGTTCTCATTAAAGTCCCTGGTCTCCTCTGTGGGCTGAATTCAGCAGAGTGTCAACTCCCAAATCAGGACTCAAAGTGCTTCTGCCAGCCATGGTCCTTAGAGGGGTCCACTAGCCCAGAAGTAAAATCTCAAATGGACAAATTTGGAAACTGTAGCCAGGAATTCCCACAATGCCACACAGTCTCCTTGCACAGGTGTTTCAAAAATAGACACTCTGGGAAAGGACAAAAACATATTAACAGCTGCACTTGGGGGCAAACCAAACGTATCTTCAGCCCTACAAGCTGTCCCAGCATGGGCCAGCATCAAATGGCTAAAGAAAATGTAAGAACAGGGTAAGATGATTGTTCTGCTTCCTCAGAATACATTCACAGGTTCATTTGTGATTCAGAGATTTCCCAGATCAGAGATGAGTTTTGTATTTGTAAGACCCATTGATGGATTTTTTTTGTCCATGAATTTGTCCAATTTCCTTTTGCAGAAAAAAAAAAGGAAACTTTAGTCATTCACAATATCTTGTGGCAAGGAGTTCCACAGACTAATGCTCCTTGGTGTGAAGAGGTGCATCCTTGTGTTGTTTTCATCCTGCTGCTGGTTAGTTCTGCCTAATGCCCCCCTCACTCTTGCACTAGGGGAAACAATGAACGGTCTCTTATCTTCTCTGTGCCATCCACGTATTTGGAGCTGTCTGTCATACCCCTCCGTCAGTGTAATTTTTCCAGTCCTTTCCAGTTAGCTGTTTCATAATCAGAATTTAGTCTGCAGATCACACCTGTTCATTCCTCTGCACTTTGGAAGTGGAGAGACCAGAACTGCACATTGTAATGAATATGAAAACCATTAATTTGTACAATGGCATAATGCTGTTCTATCGGCCATTTTTTTCTTTTCTAGTCATTCCTATCATTCAGTCTGCTTTTTTGGCAGCTATTGAACATCAGGACCTCATTCCTAAGCGTCTGTAGATATTTAAGAGCCTGCGTATGCTCATGTAAGGCTGGTTTTCCCCCTTCTACATCACTTTACATTCAAGTGGCCTGAATTTTAGCTGTTGTTTTACTGTGCAGGACAAACAACTCATTTGGGAGCACTTTCCTCCTAGGTCACCCACCAGCCTTTCCAGCAGAGTGATGTATAGAGAACTGAAGTGTGGAAAACTGAAGCCAGTCAATGAAGAAGATTCTTTTCACTTTTCTCTTTCACACAGCTTTTACCATCTAAAGACATGATGCATCTTTACCTCTAACGGCATGCTTTAGTGTCTAGTGTCTTTAGTGACTTAGTTTCCAAGACTCTCGGTTTCCATTCCCATTTCAGTCCTTGCTCAGGTGTTAGTCATTTTGGTCAAGTTTTTCAAAAGGGGACACTGATTTTCAGTACCCTCCATGGCTGGGAGCAAATGTCAAACATCTCATCCCTGCTTTCCAAAGGTGCTGAGCACCAGTAATTTCAGCAGATATCAGAGGACAGAGTGGGACTCAAATCTCCCCAACACAACAAGCCCCAGTGTGTTAGCTCAGAGCACTAGAATGAGCCTATGCATCACTTTCTTCACTTGTAAAATGGAGTAAACAAGTCCCCGTCTGAGAACCGCTCCTGTTTGGAACCTCAGGGTTGGGGGGGAAATGCCAGTCATGTGCAATTCATTATTATTAAGAACAATATCACCTAGGATATCTGGGTCCCATTCACTGGCCTTTTAATTTGCAAAAGTGCCTTATCTCTCCGAGGAGCAAGCATTTTGCCTTGGAAAAAGTGGGTTTCCCTGTCCAGTGCCGGAGGAAGAAATGAATACCACTCCTGATACAACCCTGACAATGCCACTTCTAATTGAGCTCTCTTCTACACCACACAAGTCTAATGGCTGGTTGTTCACTGCCAGGAGTGACTCTGTACTGTTTATGATTTAGATTTCTCTACTTACCCTTGGCCAGAAAGAGGAAAAGGACAGTTTTGCCATGATCAGGCTGGAAATTCCTCATGACAATGGCTGGCGCAATGGGAGAACTCAGACCATGTCAGGGTTTGAACTCAGTTCAAGATCGTCTAATGCAAATAACTGATGGAAAATGGTTGCATTTATCCTTTATAAGAAGAAAAAATGAAGTTGTTAGAAATGAAAGAAACGGAGAATCCTCTTTGTAGTTTGTTCCAGTGGTTAATCATCCTCAGTGCTAACAAAAAAAAAGGCCATATTTCCCATTTGAATTTTTTTTTTTGCTTTGACTTCATACATTTGTTCTTCTTATTCTTTTCTACACTAAATCACAGAACCATTTTAGTACCCATTTCTAACCAGGAAGAGATCCTATATGTTACACTACACTCATCCCCTTGATCTTATTTTTAATAAATTAAACAGAGACTGAGTTCCTTAAGTCTATATCCTAGTTTTTTCCAGTCCTTGGATCATTTTTATGGCTCTTCTCTGCACCCATTCCAAAATGCCAACATCCAGTTAGCAATGTGGATACTAGAAATACATTTAACCTTCCAGAGCTGGTCTCACCAATGCACTGCCCAGATGCAATACCATTTCCCTTTCCTTACCGTCTACTTTCCCGTTTATGCAAGCAATAACCATTACTGAACTAGTATTTAGCACACTAGCTCTAACCACTTTTGCTTGTGTGTAAGACAATACATTAGAGGTACGCTGTCCCCTTGGAGGGGGCATTTCCAGACCAAACTGGAAAGCCAGCAATGCTACTGCTTGTGTTGGGCTGTTTCTTAGTTCAATACAAGACTGTTCTCCAGGCTCTTTTCATCCACTGGAAAAATACAAGGAAATGAGAGTGAAAGGGAAATGAAATAAATTCTACAAGGACTTCTTCAGGGAGGATTTGGATTAATCTTGTTTTAAGCCCATTTCGTGATAAGAAATTGTTGACTGGGGCAGAAAATCTTCCTTCTAGAAATTGCTGTGTTTTTGGTGTGAAAAAAAAGGAGTCTTGTACATATTTTTTTCTGGTGTGCTTCTGAACTCTCATCAACTGAGAGACTAAGTAAGGTGAAGTGTCTCTCTCTAGCCTGCCCAAGGGATTATGGCAACGTTGTACTCTACAGCCATTGTGCAGCCACAGATTATGTTGCCTTTCAGCGCTAGATAGCATAGGTTCACCTGATGCAGCAGAAAAGGTAACCTATCTTAAAGTGTAGGAAGCCATCATGACATGCCGTAGTACTCACTCCGCTGCGGAAGCATGTGGGGAAATTGTCTATCATCCTGCTGGAGGCCAGTCAGTGGGAAAGCCAGCCATGGTGATTGCTTTTGCAAAGAGATCCATCACCGTTTGCTAGTGAAGGTGTACTAAACACAGCCGGTAGAAAACATAGCTGGTTCGGAAGCTAGCCTAGAGAAAAACAGTGACTGTCCTGCTCCTTCCTGGGCAAAACTACCTTCATGGATGATTGCCTCAAATTTATCATGGTATCATGGTATTGGCCGGCAAAGGGAAATACATAGATTTTTAAGCTTGTTGCTCTTACTGAGGACAGTGGTGAATACCAGTTCCAGTAGGGGGTGCTTACAGAATTCTCATGTCTTTGCATCAAGAGATGGTTGTTTATAGCCCAGAACCAAATATCTAGATCTGCTATCAAACCAGCTGTAATCTGCAGGTCAGAATATAATGCCATGTGGGCTGAGCTCAAATTGACAAACACTAGAGATCACAGAATCACAGAATCACAGAATCGTTTAAGTTGGATGGGACCTCTGGAGATCATCTAGTCCAACCTCCCTGTTCAAGCAGGGTCACCTAGAGCATATTGCCCAGGATCACATCCAGATGGGTTTTGAATATCTCCAGCGAAGGATGTTGCAATTCCACTTGTTAAAATGTGCTTACCAGAGGAAGGGGAAAAAAGGCAGGATGGAAGAAAAGAATGTCTTTTTAAGTGTTTACCTTTCCAGGTTATACAGCATTCAAACTCTCATTTCTGTTATTGTCGTGTAGTTGGGTAACAACTCTAGAGTTAAGACTGGATAGCAATTTTCTTTATAATTCTATTTTTTTGGTCACTTGTAATTTTCTCCCCAACAAAGAACACCTTCTAATGATTTTTATTACTTTGTTTCCAAACAAAGCATTTTAGAGACAAATTTAAACCAACAGGTGATTGCTTCTCTATTCTCTTTTTTCCCTGTGTGACTTGAGTGATACTGGTCAGTTCAAGCTGTTCAGCATTTCTGAGCTGAGACAAGATCGCCTGACATACCATCCTGATAAGCTCTGAGGAGCTCACATTTTCCCTAGGGTTAAGCATTTCCTCCTCAAACCATTCTCTCACAGTAGAAAGAGGTATTGGCCAAGTGATGGAGTTCCACTCAGCAGCTCATCCTTCTAATACCTCTTGCTGGACTTACAGAGAGCAACTCCGGATCCAAGCCCCCATTTTACCAAATGCAGTACCCAGTGCTCAGAGGGACACAAATGTCTGGCATCATCTTACATTGGAAGTCTCAAGTGAAGGCAATATGATCTGAAACCACTCCATAAAATTGAAAAGGAAACCATCCCAGCTTGAACTTCTTATCTTGTGACAAAGTGAAATTTCTCCTCAAAGCTCCTGACTTGGATTTTGATCTCCGCTTCTTTCTTCCTCTAAGAGTGACAGTCAAACCAAGTTTTCTTGCAGGCAACATCCTTTTCTTCTCCACCATTTGCTCAAGGGAGCAAACGTATTTTATCATACACCTTTCGCCTCCCTTCCCCTTCCTCTGAAATGTTTGTATGGTCTCATCCTAATGCCAAACTTCCTGTTTGGGCTGTTTTCTGAGCTGCACACTGTTTTGCAAGTCCCTACCAACCTGCCCTAGAGCCTACCTGTTCTTCCACTCCCAGCTCCCTCATGTTTTACCCCAGAATACTTGGCAGTGGGAGCTGTGTGTGCTCAGCCAAACAGTTCACACTTGAATCCAGGGAGAGTGAAAGATTTTTCAAGCTGAGACAGATTAAGATCAAGCAACAAGAAACGAAAAAATCACTGATCCACCTGCCAGTTTGGAGTCTCCCCCAGGCTCTTGGAAGGAGGCAGCAGTATTGGACAAAGCCTGTTACATCCTAGAGCATGGGCAAGGGAGAAAGAGATGAAGGAAAACAGTGTGGCAACAGATTAACCACAAGCTACTCCATGTTAAAGGAGACTCCTGAGATGTAAAATGAACTGATGGGGAAACCTGCACTGATAGAGACAAAAAGGAGTATCCTGCCCAAGAAGACCTTACCTCCTCTGTGGGCATTTCTCCACACAGGCTGTCCTGGTGCAAACATGGACATCACTAATGTGCTTAAGCACATGCTGATGGAAGTGCAGTCTAGACAAGAGTGTTTTGTCTTCTCCTGTTTTTCAGCAGACATTCCCCAGGCTACTCACAAGATCTTTCTATACCTACTTCAAGGTGCCCTTGAGTAGGGTTTCAGAGGGACATTCTGTGCACCTGAACACTATTGTGCATTCAGATGCACAATTAGTCATGTGGCTCCCACCAGCTGTAATGGAAGCCAGGTGGCTAAAGCCCCTAGATGTTTGTATGTGTGCATGTCACATAGTCCTTCCACTCCAGCCAGACATTTTGAAGCATTAAACTGAAGATAATTTTTACTGCATTCAAAAGGGAGTTAATCCAGGATCTGGCAGTACATTCATTTTTTTGCAAGAAAAGATAATATAACCATGACTAACAGTATGATTCTGAACTCAAAAGTCTTCTTGCTGTTATTAAGGCTCTGAGGAACCCAGATATGACTCTGTCCTTAGACAGCACCCAGTGCCTATGAATGGCTACTGAAACTGCACAGCACTTTGCAGGATTGGGCCCAAACTATGTTAGCAAGGTAAGGTAAGATCTAGAGCAGCTCATGAGGATTCTTGTTTAAGCACATGCATTCAAACCCACTCAGCACCTGTGAAAGTGGAGGTCTCAGGAAAACTCCTGTGTCAGCCTGGGGAAAATGGGAGCTCTGTAGCTGCTCTGCATGCACTGTTGCATCTAGTATGTGCTTTGCCTCATGAGATGAGAGGAAACCTCATAACTCATGGTGTTACCCCTACCCAGGCCAAACTCAGCATGCAGGATGTCTCTGGACTACAGATCAGATTGGCAAGAAAAGATAAATTAGGCATTGAATATCTCTATTTTGTTCACAGGCACCTGCACAACAACCGGATCCAAAGCCTGGGTGCCAATGGCTTTGATGGGCTGCACAGCTTGGAAACTTTGTGAGTTACCTGTTTTCTTCTCTGTGCTAAACATCTTGTGTGCATTCATCCCTAGGGTGCTATGCTGCTGCCCAAGAACTGGGGTACAGTGTGCATTCACGAAGCCATTTGAGATCCACCATGCCCCCTGGCAAGGGTTAGGCACCTGCCAACACAGCTCACATGTCTCTGGGACAGCTCCCACTGTGCTCCCATTCAGACCTGCTCTCTGAGGGTGGTGCAGTAGGGCTGGCTCCAGGCACAAGCCAAGTGGGCAGATGCCATTGGCATATTGCCTGTGCCAACATCCCAAGCTGGACAGGCTGGGCTGTTGCAGCAGAAGGGGTCTGTGCCTGTGGGTGACAGAGGCTGGGAGGGAATCTCTGGAGCCCTGGCCACGCATCTAGTCCTGGTGAAATCCAGAGAGCTTGCATACATGCCCTGCTTGAGGTGTGTCCCCACCTCCTCACTGCATGCACATGGTCCCAAAGGCTCCAAAAGGCTTGATTCCACCAAAATGAAAATGTGGGGATGGCTTGAGTTCCAGGCTGATAAAATCCTTGCGGATCTTTGGAATATCCCTCCTTGAGAGGTTTGACAAGCATCTCATGTCACCTAGAAACTCCCAGAGCCAGTTGGCTTTGTCTGTGCCTTGCACCATGAGACAGTTTCTGGCACTGCTGGGTAGCCAATCTATCAAGAGGCCATGGGGGAAGATGGGAAGCAGGAGTAAACTCTCCTCCAGGACACAACTTCATTAGAAGCACACGGGTGACCCTGAACTCAGAAAGACTTAAATCTGAAGGCCTTGCCTTGCACACGCAGCATCTTTGGCTGCAGTGTGAGTTGCTCTGGTCTCATGTGCCATGCATTGGCCTAGGATAAAACATAAACAAGCAAATAAATCAAGGCTCTGAAAGAGGTGTCTGTTGCCCTCAGTTTTGCAGAAACATGTTCCTCCATGCAGGCCTTGGGATCAGAGTCAGGCTTGCACTCCTTGCCAGGGAGAACTAGGGGGCCTGGGACATAGCAAAAGGAGGGGTGACACTTCCCAGTATTCAAGCGGCATTCAAGGAAACAGGGCCTTTCTGTGCCAGTCACAGTACCAGAACACAGAAACTGGGTGAAACTGGGAGCAGCAGGCAAGTCCTTGGTCCCTAAACACACTCCTCATGGGTAGGCTCATGAAATGCATTGTCTCTTACTTTTAGACTGACAGATCCTGAGGCCACCCAGGAGGGCTCAGCTGGGGAGAGGCTAAACTGTGTCAGGGAGGAGGCTGTGGATGGTGTGGGAAAGGAGGCTGGATGGTCACTTCTGGTGACCTACAGGTCTCCTCTTGTCACAGTGTCAGGTTGGTCTGTTCCTCGAGAGTTTTTGGTGGGCACAGGCAAATACATGAGGTCAGAGTCATGGCATCCAGGCAGCACAAAGGAAGACACATTTCAGGAGGGAGCGGAGGACTCCCTGATGGAGGAAAGCCCTGTCTGTGCTTTAGTCCATATAGACTGTGCAGCAACATAGCAGTCAGCATCCAAGGTGACTGAAGCCATCCTGCTTCCCATCCAAAGCAGGATGGAGTTGCAGAGAAGGATTTGGTCCCTTATTTATGGTAGAAATATATTATTTATGAAAGCAGCTCTGCAGAGAGGGACAGGGTGTCCTGGTGGCCAACAAGTTAAACATGAGCCAGCAGTGTGCCCTTGTGGCCAAGAAGGCCAATGGGATCCTGGGGTGGGTGCGTTAGGCAGAGTGTTGCCAGCAGGTGGAGAGAGGTGATCTTGCCCCTCTCCTCAGCCCTGGGGAGGCCTCACCAGGAGTACTGTGTCCAATTCTGGGCTCCCCAGTCCAAGAGAGACATGGAGCTACTGGAGCGAGTCTAGCAGAGGGCTACCAAGATGATGAGGGGACTGGGGCATCTCTCCTCTGAAGAAAGGCTGAGAGAGCTGGGCCTGTCGAGCCTGGAGAAGAGAAGACTGAGAGGCGATCTCATCAATGTGTACAAGTATGTGAAGGGAGGGTGTCAAGAGGATGGGGCCAGACTCTTCTCCGTGGTGCCCAGCGACAGGACAAGAGGCAATGGGCAGAAACTGAACCACAGGAAGTTCCATCTGAACCTGAGAAAAAACTTCTTGACTGTGAGGGTGACAGAGCATTGGAACAGGTTGCCCAGAGAGGTAGTGGAGTCTCCTTCCCTGGAGATACTCAAAACCCGCCTGGACGCGTTCCTGGGCAATGTGCTCTAGAGGACCCTGCTTGAGCAGGGGGGTTGGACTAGCTGATCTCCAGAGGTCCCTTCCAACCTTGGCCATTCTGAGAGTCTGTGATTCTGTGTAGGAAAGACTAAAGGGCTTCCACTGCCCTGAGAGATCATCTGGCTTCCATGGACACTTGCGCTGAATGCTCATTTTCCATCTCTTCCCCTCAGGTTCCACTCTAGTACTGCCTTTACTTTTTGTTTCCCATCTGAGATGCCCCCTTTTTAGTGCTGCTTTCCTCTAGCTCCGAAATGCTTCCACAATGTGGAGGGAACTGAGTGTTTCCCACTCTTGTTCTCAACACCCTTCTCACAAGAACTGTTCCCCAGCACAGAACTGCTGCATGTTGTCCCTGAAGGGGTGGGGCTAATAGCCTGCAAAACAGTGGGGCTCTCCCATACTCCTGCAGGGCTGCAGCAATGGAAGCCCTGTCTCTGCAGACCAGGAAGAGTAGGGTTCTACCTGACTCTATTGCTCAACGCTTACATCCAGACTCTGATAGCCCTGACTTGTGCATGTGAGCATCACACAGGCCCCTTCCTCCCTGAGTTGCCTCTGCAGGCAAAGGACAGTGCTGTGGGAGACGTCTCCAGACCCTCCTCACTGTCTGATCACACTAAAGGAGCATTGTCTAGAGAGAGATGCCTTTTGTTCCTTTTGGCCTGAGCATCTAATTCTCACCTCCAGACCAACCAGTAATTCAAGTCATTGATCTTTGAGAAACGCTTTGTTCCTCAAGAGGAGCCAGCTCCCTCATGTTAATCTCTACTGCTCATCTACCCTGCTGTCTAAAAGCTGGCCAAGCTTTGTGGCAAAAAAAAGCTAAGGATTTGGCTGCATGAAACAAGTCAGGTTACTAGACCTGCACCCTACCTATCACCTCTCAGCTCTCATGCATGTGGAGACTGTTACAGTCTTCTGCACATACCCTTTAACTCAGATTATGATTACATTCTGTTGACAGCACTTTGCACATTTTCTTGGCTTGTGCAAGTCAAACTGTGCTGTCAGTTACCCTGTGGGCATTACCTCCTGGAAGGCGGTGAGATGGTAAGAGTTAGTGAAGACAGAAACTTCTCCAGAGCTCCTAAAATGAGTATTTATGGTCAGATGCTGATCATAAGCCAGGCACAATAGTTGAAGAACTATAGAACTTAAAAGGAAAGAACTGTTTTGGGGTTTTCAGAAGAGCCTAGGAAGTTCAGGAGCAGAATCCCCTGCTCCCCTGCAGGAAATATTTCTCCTCATACACAGCTAGACAGGGAAACTCCTATTTTACAAATGCAGCCAGTACTTTAGGAGAAGCAGCATCCACTGTTCCATGCAGGCCTCAGCAATGTGCAAGCTGCCTAGGCACAAGCACAACAGACACATGCACTAGACCTTATCATTTCTGCAAAAGCAGATCATGATGGAACATCTCTGTTCATGGAGATGGCTTGATATTCTTGAAGGGCAGCTAATCTAGTAAGGGGTGAAGAGAACATGGAAAAGACTTCATCTTTCCTCTGCATTGACCTGCAGCTACTGCGCACAAGTGAGCAGCAGTCTCTGCCAAGTACATGACAAGAGCAGTTCCATATTTTCCATGCTGCATGTAGTCAGGGAATGGGCATGTGAGGGGCATGGGGACAGCATTGAATGTGCAGTACTCATCAGGTCTCGGCTGGTCAAACAGCAATGTATAGCTGGAGAAAGCAGCTCAAAGAAAATGTTCTCTGTCAGGGAAAGATCTGGCTGTTTACTAAGCCCCCCAGCTTAGTCTTCCTGGGAAGGAAACCCAGGCAGACTGACTGGAAGCAAGTCAGAGCAGCTCTGGCCAGATTCCCAACAGAGTTTCAAAAGAACCTGAGTTTCCCTCACCAGTTCCCATAGGCCTGTGAGAGAGATCATACAGAGCAAACGGCAGGGCTGTGGAAAGAAACCCCAGGCATGGCCAAGTCATGAAATCAGGCATTAGATGGTCAAAGTGGGTAATACTAGCCATTTTTTAGCCTCACCCAAACACACAGGGTAAGTCACAGAGTGTAAATGTCCTTGTGTGTCACTTTCTGTAGCCCTTTTGGTAATGGAATAGGTCCTTTAAATAGGTTGTGAGCTCTTGCCCATAGGACTCTCTTCCAGGAGATGCCAAAGCAAAGCCAGTGGCAGCTGGTCCTAGCAAGCTGCATCTGCCTAGTGAACATGGCTCTTGGGCCCACTGCATGCATGCTGCTTCCTCCTGGTAGGTCTAGTGCATACAGTACAAAGAGCCCAGTAACTTTTAATACCTTAGGGTTGCCTAGGAATCTACAAAATTATAATTCATAGGAATGCCTGGAGGGGAAGATCCAGCAGTCAGTTGTTCTCTGGGCAAGAGAGCATTAGGGATAGCATGGTGCAGTGGGGTGGGGGCATCCCTGAGGGGACAGAGTGGCTTTGGGTGTGGTGGGGGAGGTGAAATGAAGCAAAAAAAAAAAAAAGCCAGGGAAAAGCACGATATTTATAAATAGCAGAAGTTAGGCATGCCAAAAGCTGAGGTTCTAGCTACAGTCCTTTTCATGTCACTTTGCTGTTCCTGTTTTGCCTTGTAAAACCTGCTCTGTAATATATTACTCTTCAGGCCATTTAATGTGAGCTATAAAATGTTAGGCAGCATAAGCAACTTCCTGCCGTTTGGATGGAAGAACCTTAACTTTTACATTCTTGGAAACATTCAGTCCTTGCATACTTAGGGCTGGGGACACTGTGGCAAGGGGAGAAAAGGCTTTGTCTTCAGAGTAG